TTGAAGCAGAATCTCACAATTTCACTTACTAGTTGCTTAGATCACCGAACCACCTTCCCGACCTTTCAAAATATTCATTTCTCATCTAGTTTCTTGAACTTCCGTATCTTACTGTATCTTTCATTAAAAAACAGTAGGTTTAAAGACGAAAAATAGGATGCTTAAGTTTGTTGTTTCGTTACGTATTACAAAAAAAAAATTTTTATATGGTGTGACGATTTTTACTAATAAAAGTATTTTAAAAATTACAATTGACTGTATAAATAAATGATCGTCGCCAATCACGTTTATTGAAATTTTAGCCAATCAAAACGAACTTACACTATGCTATCAAGATAAAACTTTGTATTGTATATTTTCGAGAAGGTTTCGGACACAAAAATTATATAGCTTAATCTGGAAATTTTGATTTATTTAAAATTAAAAAGTGTAGTTGATAAGAAGTCGGTCAAATTATACTAAAATTTATAAGGTATATGTAATGTAATGCTCTAAACAACTTTACTTAGAGCTAGAAAGACGACTAGCATAGTAAAATTTAGACTTTTGTATATAAAAATTATTAATAAAGTTTTTTTAAGATTTTTAAGGAGGTTAAAAAAAATCTCACACAATAGACAAATATAGAAATACATATAAAAGTACTACATAACCCCACGAAGGTACAGCGTATATAGTTCGTGATATACATTTTTGTTTCGCCACTTGCATACTTCAATAAGATGCAAGATTTTTCGGGTGTACACCACTTAATTCGTATATATATTACCATAACTTGGCGAAATTTTTATCTACATGGAACTTGGTTTCATAATACTGTATATATTACCATAACTTTTAAATACCGCACCGTTTCTGGTATATATATGTTTACATAGAACTTGGTTTCATAATATAATTCATTAGCATTTACTTAAATTTCAGGTCATGATGTATCTCTATATTGTTTATTTCTTAATAAATTTCATGATAATTGTTGACGCGTTAAATTATAGTGTACAAATAAGTAGTAACAATGAACTTTCATATTATGGACCAATATCAATTGGAGGACAATCTTTTAACGTTCTATTTGATACTGGATCTGCCATACTTTGGGTTCCAGGTACAACATGTAATTCATCAGAATGTAATGGAAAAAATAAATATGATTCTACGAAAGATAAAACATTTATAAATAATAGTACTTTTGCGATTAATTACGGATCAGGACAAGTATCAGGAACTTCGGGATTTTCGAATTTAACTATTTCAGATCTTACGACTACGAATCAATATTTTGGAATAGCTAATTTAATTCAATTTCCACAGATAAGTAGTACACCATGGGGTGGAATATTTGGGTTAGGCCGCTCACAATCAACAATAACTTTATTTAAAGAACAAGGACTCATTAGTTCAAGTCAATTGGCATTCAAATTTGGAAGAGATAATGAATCATCAAGCCATTTAATGATTGGTACGACAGATCCATCCTTGTACGTGGGTACGATTACTTGGTCATCTTCGAGTAATAGTAGTTGGACAATTCCTATTGATGATATTTTGGTCAATAATACACAAATAGGATTTAATAACACTCAGTCGCTTATTGATACTGGAACTTCTTATATATTTGTTCCAAGTGATAATGCTACAAAAATTTATAATCAAATTCCAAATTCACAAAACATTAATGGATCATTCTATTTACCTTGTAATAATCAAGTACCAATTAGTGTTAAAATCAATGGAATAACTTGGAATATTGATAACAGAGATCTTATTGATTATACCTCATCTGAAAATAATGGAACTTGTAAAGGAACTATTCAGACTGGTGGTGGATGGATTCTTGGTCTTTCTTTTTTGAAGAATGTATATAGTGTTTTTGATCAAGATAATGGTCAAATTGGTTTTGCAGCTCTAAATACTAGTGTTAATACTTAGTATTAATTGTAAATTTTATTATTATTATTATTATATATATATACTGTGTTTTAAAAATTCTTTTATATAAAATCTAGGTTTACAATAACCTCTATAAACTCAATCGTATTTTTTGTTATATATATTTGAAATATATTGATTATAAATTTTTAATCAACGAATATTAGTTTGCCAACTTTCTTGATTTTTATGTTGTCATTTTCCAATTTATAACCACTTTTTCAAGGTCATCATAATTTATTGTGTTGTTGAATTTCGAACAATGTTCGAACAATGTTCTAACAACATTTTACTATCTCTTTTCTCCATGTTACTTGATTTGTAATGCACTGTACGTAATTACAGCCAAATTTTTCGCACTATTCACAAATGTATATTAAATGATATTTGCTTTAAGCAAACAAGTATTTGAAATATCTTATATTATGGTGTATTATTGGTACAGTATCAAAAATGACATGATTTGTGCTTTAGAGATTTTAAAATTTTGCATTTTTTAGCGATGCAGGGACTTTTATTTAAAATTTTGTTTATCAAAGAGAATCATGATCTAACTAATGGTGATTTTTTGTCTAGAGAATGTGCAACAAAAGAGTTATTCACAAATTAATACTTTATTAGTAGATTAATTGCAAAATCTTTATCTTGAATTATAATCATTTCAAAACTATTTATCATACATGAAATTTTTATATATCACAATCGTGTAAATGGAATGGAAATTGTATACGTGTCTTTACTTCTATAAAAAGAAACATTTCCAATGTCAATATTTCCACTTAACGTTATAGCAATTTCTGAATAATTTTCACTCTTTTTCATATCATATCTAAAATGATCTGACATATTCATTGCCGGTTCGGCATGAGTGGGTTGTGGAATTGTGGTGGGCCATACCGGAGTTGCGATAATAGTCGATGGAGAATTGGCATTGAGTTTTTGATTATTATTATCACAATTGATATTTAAAGTTGAAGCTTTGGTGAATCTTATAAATGATTTACGAAGATTGTAATTGTAACCAGATTTACACAGGGTTACAATAATAAGAAGTGTGATAAAACATTTAGCATTCATAAGCATGTTTGCAAATTGTTGAAATAAAAAGTTTGACAGATTAACGAATTAAGAGATTTGAAAACTTTTAAAAAAATCTATTTTATAGATTACAATATCATTTAATAGAGTATGAATTGATCGATCTTACCTGAAATTATGATAAATTAAACTCTGCGATACCAAAAAATAAATGACGCATTTAGAATTTTTAAAATCATTTCTTCACATTTGTTGAAGTTGAAAATAGCATGTGTAATGTGTAAATTAGTAAGTAATATAATACACTCGTTAATCATTACATTTATTATTTATTATATGAGTGACGCCAAGGGAAAAGGGATACTTTGATCTATCGGTTTATCATGTCTGTCTACAATTTTAGTGTAATACAGCAATACATTACACAATTTTTATAATATAAAAATTGTGTAATGTATTGCTAAAATTGAAAGTCCGTTTAGACAGACATGATAAATCGATATATCAAAGTATCCCTTTTCCCTTGGCGTCACTCATATACTACTATATTCGTGTTACTGCAATACTAGATAAACATAGGGATGGAAAAAAATAGGTGATGATTATGCCCTTAATATATTTAAAACCAATTTTAACTATTCGGACTTTTAATCATCACCTGTTTTAAATCGGTGAAAAAATGTTTAACCCTATTTTTTTAGTTAAACATTATCGATATGATTATTTAATATTAATGTCAGATAGGTATAAATAAAGCTACCATTAAAGGATGAGAATTTCAGATTTCAATTTTATTGGATAAATAGAATAAGTTTTAGAAAAAATGCGAAAGCTTAAAGTAATTGATCGAAACTGTCAATTCAAATCTATGTGTTGATGTTATCCCAAAAAGAAGTTACATAATATCCAAAATCTGATTATGAACAGTTCAAAACATAGACATGCTGTATTGTACAAATTAATTCGTAAAATAAGTAATTTTCTTATTATAATTTTTTTTTTTAACCAAAGATTATTTAGAAGATTGCTTTATGTTATTTTTGTGAATATAATATTGAAAAAAAATGAACATAATTTACTGAATGGATTGAAGAAATTTTTAAAGTTAATTATCTTATGATCTTAACATTAAATATGATAGAAAACGCTCAAGTTGTAATGTTAACGATTCAAAGATTGGCTAGTGTAAATGAAGAAGTTGATGATTTGATAAACTTCGAGTCGCCATCCGGAATCACGATTATATGATTAAATAGATTCCATTTGATGCCTTAACAAGTGTTGAAATAATAGGTCAAAGAGGATTCAATGTTGTGTATAAGTAGCCTGAATTGAATATAATAACAACCCAGTTTTTTAGCGTTCAAAATTCTTAATTCTTTACATGAATTGAGAATTTATTAAATGTTATTTGATTAGAACACTTCTTAGTATGATATACTAACTCAAAAACATGAAGCTAACGAATATTTGATGGTTTTTCATGTAGAAATGAATATTTTTTTAAGAACAGAATAATTCATGCTGATTTTCATAGTGGAAATGTTTTATATTTCAGACTCCTTATCAATTTTTTCAGGACTTTATTGACCAAAACCTGTTAGCGCAAGCTTACAAGTTTAACCCGAAAAATTAAATTATTAAATATTTTGATAACTGATAATATGCTCACAAGTAAAATAATAGTAAAAAAAAAATTTGAAGACGTAGAAAATATTGAATATTCCAACTTAAGTTTTATATTACGCACATTTGAGATTTATCATAGAAATCTTCAAAATTAGATTTAATGTCGCGGTTGATACTAAATTTGAGAACTTTGATTGAAAGAATAAACCTTACTAAAACCCTGAGTCTAACCTAATTATAAAGAAAAGGACTAAAAATTGTACACCAAGAAGAAACGTCTCTAAATTGTGGTTTCTTTTTGGTGTCAAAAACCTAATTGTTTATTGTGACCCTTATTTATAGTAATCCTTTCAACGTCAACGTAAAAATATTAAGAATTCGAATTCCTTATGTAATTTTCTATTAAATGAATTTTAAACAAGAAAAATGATTCAAGATTTAATCAATAAACTACTTTTAAGAATATCGCACATACAAGTGGACCAGACAAAGTTTAAGATTTTAGTTTCGTCAAGCAGAGGCAAGTCCTCCAAGACAACCTGAAATATTTATGGCACTATTATTATTATGCAATAGAAAAATAAAGATTTGTTGTTTCGTACTTTTCAGTTTGCACAATCCTTTCGTGTTTTTCTTATATTTCCTTAACACGTTTAATGTAGATGCTAATGTTGCAGGACCTTGCAGCCTTGTGGCCATGAAAGGATACTGGTCTGGGCATACTGGTTTTGGTACATACATACCTAAAATGTCGGTAGATGCACGCCTACAGTACTGCAGTACGGACTATTAAAACAAAGCTTTTAGGATTGCATTTTATGCATTAATCATCAATTATTATCTGTTTTCCGTTATTACACGTAATTTTATTTTCTTATTCGACTTCATTTGGCTTTAACATTTGCTTAATATATAAAAATCATTTACTAAAATATGGAATGGCTCGAAGATGCTATCCATGAAGGAGTCATTGAATATTACGACTATAATAAATTCTCCACATTTAAAAAAATTGGTGAAGGAGGATTCGGAGTTGTGTATCGATCAGAATGTAAAGACCGCGGATTAACCGCTCTTAAAAAATTTAACATAGCTTCGAATGAGGAGAATGAAGAGAAGAAAGAGAAGTCCATTCAAAGATTTATTAAAGAGGTAAGTGATTATATTATTTATTATAACTGCAGAACTGTAGTGTAAAGGTATATAATCTAACCAATACATATTATCTATTTTAGCTTAAGCACTTACAAAAAGTTTTCAAGCATCAAAATATTATTGAATTTTACGGAGTTACTCGAGGTTAGTAAACCATAATAGTAAACAATTAAATGAACTATATTTACCTTTTAAACAATAATTCTTAAAATGGCAGATTTATCAAATGAATATTATATGGTTTTGCAACTTGCAAATAATGGAGATTTACGTGGATATTTAAGAAAAAATTTTTAAAAATTAATATGGCCTGATAAATTGCGAATAGCCTACGAAATTTCAGATGGTCTTGAATTCTTACATAAAAATAATATTATTCATCGAGATCTCGTAAGTATAAGTTTATTTAATTATGTAACAGGTAACAACAATTTATATGTTTATTAATACTATAAATCTTTTCCTTTTTTTTTTTTTTTTTTTTATTATAGCACTCTAAAAATATTCTAATTCATGAAGAAAAAGTGGTGATTGCAGACTTCGGCCTATCAAAAGATGAGACATCAACAAGTTTAAATTCTGGACTTTATGGGATGGTAGAATACATTGATCCTCAATATTTGCGGACCCAAATTATAAACTTAAAAAGGAATCTGACATATACAGTTTGGGGGGTAATTCTTTGGGAAATTTCAAGTGGTCGACCACCATTCCAATCATTTAGAAACAATGGCATTCCTATTCAACAAACTTTCCTTCGCATTTTCGGTGGAGAAAGAGAAGAATCTATTAAAGGGACACCAAACCAGTATATTCAACTTTACAAAGGATGTTGGGATTATTGTCCAAATCAGCGTCCAAAACTAAGAGAAATTTTAAAAACACTTCAAAACCTTTTAGAAAAATATGGTATGCATTTGAATTACCATTTTATATCAGAGATCGAAAATCATTAATCGATTAAACTTTTAGATAATAAAAATGAAACAACCAATAGTTCAAGTCAAGACAATGAAAATGCGATACAGTCATCTATTAGTTCAAATGATGAAACAACTAGTAATTTACGTCAAGACGACGAAAATGAGATACAGCCATCTACTAGTTCAAATGATGAAACAACTAGTAATCCAAGTCAAGACGACGAAGATACGATACAACCATTTCCCACAAAACTCGTAAAACTCATAAAACTCATAGAACTCATAGATGAACTATGGAAACTGTGGAATTTCTTTATGCTATACTTCCTAAGCACGGGACTTTCATTACTTCAACCCCAAGCACGTGAATGTAAGCGATGTGGAGGGATAGTACAAATTTTTCTTAATGTATCACATGAACTATATCATGATCTGTGTTATATTTACACAGCTTTTTTTTTTTTTTTTGGTTACATAATATATACGTATATATATACTGTAAATTAATAATTTCAATTATATATACTATATAATCGTGCTTTGTATATAGTTACTATGCAGTTACTGCGCATTAAAAGATTTAAGTTTCTGTATACGTAGTAGACAATGAACAATCGCAATTGTAACAGTAATATAATAAAATATGAATATTATAATTTATGTATATATATATGAAATTTTGCAAAAAAAAGTATTTACGTCTTTTACGGGGTAAACAGACTTTGTTAACGTCCGGAGTGTTTGTAAAACTTTATCAATTTCCGTAAGCATGCTGTATAATAATTTTAAAGTTGATTGGAGCCCATTTTTGAATTTTCAGACCATATAAAACTCAAATTCGCTAAAATAATAATAATTTTTTTTTCTGACAAATTTCATTATTATGTTTATGTGGATACTTCAAAGAGAGAATTAAACCATATTTATTTATAATAAATCTCAATTTCTAATTAACTTTTACTTTACAAGCTATTCAGTTGTTTTGTCTTAATTTTTTTTCATTGAGCAATGTAAACAACTTTTTCGCAATCGACTTTTCTAAGTAAATATTTTACAACCCTTGTCTTTTCAATCAGTTTGATTTTTAGAAAAAAGATTTTCTAGTGCACATCATTCAGTAGCTTAGATGAAGATAATGAGTTGACGATTTCTTTAATCTGTTTTAACCTATTTATAGTCAAAATTATTATAATATTTATTTAGACTTAACTTTTTCATACAGTAGAATTAGTTTTCGGCTCCTACAGTAATTGTTTTTTCTGAACTGATGGTAGTAATGGATTTAATAATGGTAGCGTTAACTTGGTTCAACTAATCTGGTGTCTTCAACTTCTTAAAACATCATAAACTTCAGCTTTTCAATTTTTTTTCGACTTCAACTTATTCTGTACACGTAGGATAATGAAATACAGAACTTTGTTTCGCTTAAAGAAGGTTCAATGAGTGAAGGTATTAAAACACTCATGGGTGCGTTATTAAAAACGTACAAATTTCAATAACGATGATGACCCAAATAGGTCAATATCAATGTTTTTGCTGTGGAGTTACATAGAGACAAAGAAAAAAAAACCCCCCAAATACAGTGCAGATAAGTTTGATAGGTGAAAATTTTTGAGCGCTCAAACATATTAAAACATTCTAACTTTCACGTAATGAAAGCTTAAATACTAGACTTTAATATTAGCATAACTGATGTGCTTGTAATTTTTCTAGCTATTTAAGTTATTTGTATTTCACTCCAAACGACTAAGTACATAGAGCAGAAAAACATGGACAAATATTTTAATTTTTTTTAAATAATTATAAGAAATTTTAGACTCGAGTTAGAACTACTACTATATTTCTGTATTTCACAAGCTGTTAATATTCTCGAATGCAACGAACCTTAATAATTCCATCTATATGTCATACGTCGAAATGGAGTTATTGTAGATTTAGAATCCACCTAGGTTGATTCCGAATAAATATAGATTGTAATAAAATTCTAAAATGTTAAGGAATTTCAACTCAACTTACAACAAAACTATGTGTATTCCAAATTATTTCATCAAGTACGTTGTTTTGGAGTTTAAGTCGCTTTAAATTAGGATTTATTCATAGCACAGTGCATTGTAAAGAATTAAAAGCATTGCACGAAGTTTTTACACTTGTGATTAGTGGGATGACAACTATTTCCACAAGGTACATTCATTTTTTTTACATTTAAAGTGATTTCTGTCTCATGCATTTTTGCAATTACATTTAAATAATATCTACTTGTGAAGAGGATTGCATAATAGACGCTTTTCGAATGCTTATGAGCATTGAAGGAATACTATTCAACTCTGGATTGTCAAGACCCAATGAACACAAGTAGGTTTGAGTCAAATTTAACAAATTATATTTTAAAATCACGTATTGTAAATGTATTATTTTTGCCAAATAATGATCTTTCGCATCCCCGATTATTGTATTTGCTGAATTTTGTAAAACTTAATACAAAAATAAAAGTCTTCACGTGTTATAAAGGTTTTATGTTGCCTATTTTGCCGACTCGTTAATAAAATATTTGGAAAGCAATTCTTTGAATACATGACAGAGTAAAAACAGATAATCTTGATATTCGATCATCAGGTAGAGAGAGTTATAAAGAATAAAAAAATAATAATAATAAAAGATTTGTATTTTATCTTGTCAATTTATCATAACTTATTATAGTATCGAATTTAAAATCAACTTAAGTTGTTATTAATAGATAGCAGCACGCCATTTGTACTACCGGTAGTACAATTTTAAAAACTCATAAAAAATCTAAAAAATTATAAATTCAAGTAATTTTTAACAAAAATATCTATTTAATATTCTAGTTTATTTTTATTAAATTTATTTTAAAATTAATAAATAAT